CTCTGAAACCTGAGCCAAAGTAAACCTTTCTTGTTGATTGTCATAGGTATTTTGTCACACTGACAGAAAGCTGACACAGAGTAGGGGACATTTTTCCCCTGAATGAGGCAGACTTGGCTGAGCACATCTCATTTTCTGTCCATACTTAAAATATAGAGGAGCCTTCTCATAGCTCAGTAATGAAGTCCCAGATGGTCAACCCCATTGCTGCCAGGTCACCAGAAAATCATCTCCTATGGTACCTAAGAACTACTCTTTAATCCACAACTCTTTGTGAGACACCTTCCTTGTGTCACAGGGGCCCTTTGCTGCCAGAAGGACCAAAGAAGTTCATGCTGCGTCTTCCTGAAAAACTGGAAAATGGGAGAATTAATCTTTACCACAGAGAAAAAAATTATGATGAAATGGGAGTTAGGAGTGTAAAGTTAAGTGATTTAGAGGATAGAACCCAGAGATGTTCTGAAAGGAGGAAAAGGCCATGGGAGAGAGAAATAAAAAAATAAATAGCAGAAAGCTTCCTGTAGCTAGACAAGATGTGGGCTCAATATGGAAAGGGCTCAACAAATGAATCCTTATAGATTAATTTAAAAAAAAACAATGACCCTCATCCAGACATATCCCAGTGGAATTTCTGTACTCTTAAGAATAGAGAAAAGAATTCTACAAGCTTCCAGACAAGCAATAGATGTGGTACTAAGGTAAAAAGAATCAGATTAGTATTAAACCACATATCTACAAGACTGCCAACTGGAAGATAGTGAAATAGATAGTGTTCACAGGCTGGCAAATAAAGGTGTAGTTTAAAAGATAGTCAGGCTGGGGTTGTGGCTCAGTGGTAGAGCACTCGCCTAGCACACACAAGGTTTGATCCTCAGTACCACATAAAAAAAAAAGTAAATAAAATAAAGGTATTGTGTCCAACTACAACTAAAAAATAAATATTAAAAGAAAGAAATAGTCTATATGAGGAGCCATTCTCTAGACACAAAAGAATTACCTATTAACTGAACAAAATGACCCTAGCAATTATTATAGTAAAGTAAAAATGAAATTGTAAAAAAAAAACTTTAAGAGAAAAATCTACATATAAAATATAAGAAACAGTGGTGGGCAATGAATTATATAATTATTGTCCAGCATACTTAGTTACTGATAGTGTTGTGCACCTCCTGTAAATTTTGCTGAAATTATTTGAAGACTCTAAGAGATAACGGGAAACAATAGTGAAAAATAATCTCCTGGTTCTCTTCTAGTTCTATAATACCACCTCAGTAGATGCACTAGGTAGTTGCTATAACGAATACCTGAGATAGTAAACTTACAAAGAGAAAAGGGTTATTGTAACTCATGTCTTCAGACATTTTGAAGACATGATAAGACATAATAATCTGGCAAGGCAGATTATTATGGTGGGGAGCAAAGCTTTCACCTTATAGCCAGAGCATAAAAAAGGAGAGGAAGAGGAAAGGGCTTAATTCCCAATATCCTCTTCAAGGTCACACTTCCAATGGCTCATAGACCTCCCCAAAAGCTCCATCCCTTAAAGTTCCCATCACCTGCCAATGGCAACATAGGCAGGGGACCAAGCCCTGCTTGGTCCTCCAAACCATAGAGATTGATGTTTTAAAAACCTGCAGAATTGGGGACTGTTCTGTGACTCTAATGTGTGTATTTTAATCCTTAAGTCTTATATTTTTATATAGGTGTTTTATACAGGTGTAGGTAACATATGTTTAAGTGTGTGTACTGATAGCATCTGAAGCGAAGAGGATAAGACGTATTGTGTACTTTAGTTTATTCTCCAACAAAGATGTAAATAGAGTTGTCCATGGGCATTCTTCAGGGACTGGTTTCTAAGACACTATGAGGAGACCAAAATCAATGGATGCTCAAGTCCCTTACATAAAATGGTGTAGTATTTGCATACAACCTGTGTACATTTTCCCATATACCTCCAATCATCTCTAGATGACTTTTAACACCTAACACAGTGTAAATGTCCTCTAAATATCTCTTATTTTGAATTGTTCAGGAATGATGACAAGATAAAAAGTCTGCATATATTCAGTACAGACACAATTTAAATAAAAAATTTTAATCCAGGATTGGTTGAAGATGTAGAAGGGAGAACCCGCAGATAGGAAAGGCCTACTGTACCTGCAATGTGACTTGGTGTCAAAGCCCTGGGGAGACTCAGGGTGCTGTAGAGATGGTACCACTCCACAGAATAGGAGCTGTGGGCTCACTGACATGTAGCTGCTGCCACCATTTGTCCCCCACCCTTCCTTCTGTCATCCTGACATGGCATGGACAACTATGGCCACCTTTTGGCCATAGCCTTCAGCACATACTTCTGAGAGATCACTTTGGGGAATGTTGTTTCTGTAGATTGTGTCCAGACTGTGGTCATTAAGTTCCTCACATCAGTCCTCTAGCCTGTCTCTGTAGTTGGCTTCCTCCATAGTAGACTAACAGGCAGTTCATCATTCTTTTTTTTTTTTTTTCTGGTACCATGAATTAAACCCAGGGGCACTTAACCACTAATATATCCCCCCACCCATTTTTATTTATTTATTTATTTTTATTTTTGAGACAGTGTCTCACTAAGTTGCTAAGGGCCTTACTAAGTTTCTGAACCTGTGATCCTCCTGCCTCAAACTTCAGTGCCACTGGGACTACAGACATGCACCAGCCACCATGCCAGGCTCAGTCCATCCTCCTTGATGAGTCCTCTGGTGTCTGTTGTTCTGGTGAATGCTGAGCCCCTCTTCTGTTCTTGGGAACAGGTCTTTGGAATAGTCCTGCCAACTTCAGAGTTTGAGATGGGGTGATTGTGGAGGACATTCAGACCCTGCAAGGTCCTTTTTCAGTCATAGTTTTCCTGATGTGGGATATTTTTGTAGTCTGCAGGCCACTCTGGGGAAGGGCTATGAATCTTTCATCATGCTGGTACTGTTAGCAAGAGACAGCCATTCGTGATCCTTTTGCGGACAACGGAGTAAACACTGCTTCTGACAATGGTGAATTTCTTCAGTGTGCATTCACGCGTTGGAAGCATGTGTCTCCATCAGTAATTGTGCTCACACTCTGAGAGTCTGGACTGGATGAAGTAATTATCTCCTTCTCGGTTCTTCTGGGAATATTCATAATGCTGTGACTAACCATCTGGTAAAGGCACTCTTATAGTGAGATGTCTTTGGGGTACCACTGCAAGCAAGGTGCTGCACTGGCACTGTGGGAGATATGGCTTGTGAAAGTCCTTTAGTTTATGTGCTCCCTGGGGAGATGATACTTAAGAAAGAGGATGTTCAGGAATGTGAGCTCAAAGCCTGGGTAGTGACTGCCTTGAGCATCATGGATAGTGCCTCCTTCATCTTTGCTCCCTCTCGTCTGACTACAGGTCCCAAGGCTCCCATCCCCTAAATACTAGCTAAGCCCCTTCTCTTGCCTCATCTGCACTGGTTTAATTTAAGCTCTCAATATGTTTTTTTTTCATTTTAATTTGCTTAATTGTATTAAAATAGACATAACATAAAATTGACCATCTTACCATTTTTTAAAGTGTATTAGCTCTCCTTTCTTAATTGGACTACTGGAATATGTTTTTAAAAAGGACCAACTATGATGCAAAAAGGGCATTTGTATTGTCAAAGTAGAGTTTAAAGGATACAGTGAACTCTTGAGTAACCACTCAGCCTAAGAAAAAGAACATGAACCAAACTTTTGAACACTCTTTCTAAGCCTTTGTCTGGATGCCAGCTCCTCCTCTCCTCTAGAGGACTGGAATAATGTTTTTACCAGTCTCCCTTCCTCCAGCCTTCTCTCCTCCATGCTGGATCCAGAGAGATAGGACTAACAGATACTGTGTTGTGCCCTTACTGGATATTGCCCAATGACTCTGCCTGGTTTGGGGGTTAAAATGCAAAGTCCTGGGGCAGTGGGCTCCAGGGCCTCTCCTGTTGTGGGCCCCCATGATCATTGCAGGGTCTGTGTGGTACCAGGATAGGTGCCCTGCTGGCTGCAGCCCCATCCCTGTCCATCTCCCCTTGGCCAGGCAGTGCTGCCTTCCCTGCCACATCTTTGGGCCTGAAAGGTTGGACACTTACGTTGAGCTTCTCTGTTCATTACTCAAGATAGCACCCGCAATTTCAGACCCTTGGTGAATGCTGTTTGGTTTGGAGTGAGCAATGGGGAGAGGGTGGGACAAGCCAGTAGGGAAGGGGACTGATATGGTCTTCAAGGAACACAGATTGATTTATTTTGAATTAATATATAATTTTATTAAAAATTCATTGCAAAATAAAAGTAGTATATTGAATGTACTACATTTTTATCATGTAACATGGTAAAAAAAACATCAAACTATTTGAAAAGAGTATTTAATATCGGTTTTTCTTTCTACATGGCATCCCTCTCAGTCCTCCTCCCAAATAGACTTTTTTATTCTTATTTCATTTTTAAATGCCACATAGTAAGTTTACCAATCCGGGGGGTGCAATGTAATATTTTAGTGTCTACCTCATCATGGGGTGTGGAATTGAACTGGGAAGATCTAACCTCCTTCCCCATCCATCATCACCGTCTTTGGATGGAAGCATCCCTTTTTCTCTTTTGAGAGCAGCTAACCTGCTTATGGCCTTGTGACTTGGTCACCTGGGGAACACGGAAGGGAGTGAGCCCAGTGTGGGGGTCGGGAATGAGCGTGTGAGCTGCAGGCCCCAGGCTGGCGTCCTGGTGACTGAGGGTGCCTCTCCTCTCCCTGCCACCCTTTCCTCCTGCTCTGCCTGTCCTTCTTGGCACCGTGGCATGTTGTTCCTGGCACATGAGGCAGCCAGGCGGGAATGTCACATTCTTTGAACAGATGTGCGTTCACATTGCTCTGAGCGAACATGGTGGCAAGGCGCGTGGGCGTGTGGGGTGGGCTGCGTGCTTGTTGGGCTGGTGGTGATCAGCCATCGGTGGGATTCTGACTCTGTACTTTCCAACGTTCCTCCCCACAGTGACTGCCTCCGGGTGATGATGGCCGCGTGAGTGTCTGCCATGGCCCACCGGAAGCGCCAGAGCACCACCAGCAGCATGTTGGAACACAGGGCCAGGCCAGGCCCCATCCCCCATGGCCAGGAGCCTGAGAGTGAGGATGCAGAGCTGCCCTTGGAGGGCTATGTGCCCAAGGGCCTGGAGCTGACCACCCTGCGGCCAGAGAGCCCCACACCCGAGGAGCAAGACTGCCACAACCACAGCCCTGATGGGGATTCCAGCTCCGACTATGTGAACAACACCTCTGAGGAGGAGGACTATGATGAGGGGCTCCCCGAGGAGGAGGAGGGCATCACCTACTACATCCGCTACTGCCCAGAGGATGACAGCTACCTGGAGGGCATGGACTGCAACGGGGAGGAGTATGTGGCCCACGGCACACACCCTGTGGACACTGACGAGTGCCAGGAGGCGGTGGAGGAGTGGACAGACTCAGCGGGCCCACACCCCCATGGCCATGGGGCCGAAGGCAGCCAGGACTACCCCGAGAGCCACCTGCCCATCCCAGAGGACGAGCCCTCTGTGCTGGAAGCCCACGTCCAGGAAGATGATGGTCACTACTGTCCCAGCAAAGAGGGCTACCAGGACTATTACCCTTCAGAGGCCAATGGGAATGCAGGGGGTGCTTCCCCCTATCACCTGAGGCGTGGGGATGGGGACCTGGAGGACCAGGAGGAAGACATTGACCAGATTGTGGCTGAGATCAAGATGAGCTTGAGCATGACCAGCATCACCAGTGCCAGCGAGGCGAGCCCTGAGCACTTGCCTGAGCCAGGGCCGGGGGACTCCACAGAGGCCTGCCCGCCCAGCGAGGCCAGCTGCGGGCCCAACAGGCATGAGGCAAGGCCCAAGTCGCTGAACCTCCCTCCCGAGTCCAAGCACCCAGGAGACCCCCAGAGAGGCTTCAAGGCCAAGACCAGGACCCCAGAGGAAAGGCCAAAGTGGCCCCAAGAGCAGGTAGGTCTTTCCTGTTCCCAGGGAATGGGGCAGAGGAGCCCAGAGAGCTGTGGTGTAGGCATGGCCGATGGTAAATCTGAGGCCTGGGCAGGGGACTGGGCTGCTTTCCAATTCAAAATGCAGGCTTCGTTCTTCATTTTCTCAGTTTTTCGGTCACGTTTCAGGGACATTTTGATCACTCTTAAGCTCACCCCTCAAATTCAGGAATATCAGGAAAGTCTTTCATTGAGGGCTGACCGTCAGCTAGTGTCTTCCAGAAGACTCCCTGCTCTACCTGCCAGGAGAGGTTTGATTTCTGTTCCTGTGGATGGCAGAGGAGCATCTGTTTGATGGTCCCCGCCTCCCTGCCTCCCCCACGTGGTTTCCTGAGGCCAGCAGGGCATTGGTGAGGATGGGGGATTGATGGTGTTCATGCACTGAGCTGACTAATGCCAAGGGTCAACAGCCTAAGTGTGTTTCACAGTGGCCATTGCATCCAGGTTACAAGTCTTCAAAGGCTACAGGCTTTGGCTTGGTGGGCAGATAGCTATGAATATCCACTCTATTCTGCAAATAATTATTTGAAAGCTTGACAAAGTTGGAGAATAAATGCATGCTGTTGAGGCCAATGGGTATAAGTATAGCTACATATTCTTTTAATTATAGCCAAGTAAGCATGTACTGTAATAAACACATTTGAAAAGCTGCCATTCAAAAAAAAATCCACCATGAGTACATAAAGAAGATGCAATTATTAAACCTGTGTAAAGGAACATGTATTTGGTCCATTATGTGGACTGCTTGTATATTTTTAAAATCTTAATTATTTTTTCCCAGTAGAGTTCATGAATTTGAAAACACACACACACATACACACACATATAGTGAAAGGTTGCATTTAGAATTGTGGTTAGATTTCTGGCACTTGCATTTGGTGCCTTTTGTTCTTTCTAAAGATTATCAAGTGTAAGTTCACTCTGGGAGTGTTCCTGTCATTCACAGAAATTCTGCATTCATGGGGACCACAGATGTCAGGAAAGTGCTATTATATGCTTGTGGACATTGGGGGAGCTTTCTCTAGAGGTCAGGTGACTCTGGGCCCTGGATCTGGGCTTTAGGCCAAAATGCTGTCATCTTCCATCAGTCGCTGGCAGAGCCTGAACTTGTCCCCAGCAGTAGTGATGGCACCACAGGGTTGCACAGGATATGTGACGTACTGCATTTTGTTAATAGAAGAGCATCCCTGTCAAAGATTTTGTCAAGAGAAAATTATCTTTAGAGCCTGTGGGGAACAAGTTAGACCTGATCTTTTGCTCCTTTGTGCTTTGTGCTAAACAGATGCTAATTTGAGTGAGACTCTAGGCTGGAGAACTGGGGGATAAATGAAAGGGAATGAATGGAGGATGTTGGCTGTTTAAAAGGGCAGGAGCAGGTGAGGTAGTCCCCAGCCAGTTGTGGAGGACCAGAAGGAGGTCTGTTCTTCAGAGAAGAGGCATCGAATGGAAAAGCAGGCAGCTTTGGTCCCTAAGCAGAGTGTGTCCTTGAAGCTAATGCTCTTATCCAATACACCGGAAAAGCTCATTTAAGCTGGCTAATGATGTAGAGCTTTTCTGCTTTCATTCATTCACTCACAAACTGTTTCCATCCAGGAAAGAGCCTACCAGTTCCCAACTCAGGGCTGACCAGGTCCCATATGAACGGGCCCAGTGCTCCTTCTGAGGACTCTATAGGGCCTGGCACATGTGGGCAGGGTCCTCACATCCTGTATTCCCAAGTAGCCCATTTTACACAAGAAACCCTTTGAAATTGGACCCCAAAGAGCCAAAGCTACAAATGATTGTGAAAGCCAGATTCTGCATGAAGAATATGTACCAAGTGGTTTGGTGATGCCTTGTATGCAACCACAGCCCACTTTCCTACAAGCAATCCCTTGCTTCCTTGGGGACAGCGAAGCTGTTCTGAGAACCAACAAAAGCTTGGGTCTAAGACAGGTGCTCAGGGTATCACTGAGTCCCAAGCCTACCTCTCTGTTCCTAGTGTCATCCATGCAGTTAGCGTAAGCATTGCCTAGATTTGAGACTGAGACAAAAAAAAAAAAAAAAAGAATCTGCAAAGAGGAAGGGCAATGTTGGCCCTTTATTTTATTTTTTATATATTTTTTAGTTGTAGTTGGACACAATATCTTTATTTATTTATATGTGGTGCTGAGGATTGAACCCAGAGCCTCGCACGTACTAGGCGAGTGCTCTACTGCTGAGCCACAAACCAGCCCCGAATTTTGGCCTTTTAGACTGTCACTTTTTAAAGTGTGGCCATGGCCTATCCACACAGCATCACTGGGGTGGCCCACCCCAGAACTTCTGAGTCCTAATATGCATTTCAAGGAAATGCAACATTTTGAGAATTCAGTTGGAGGAAAATTGCATAACCTCCCTCTCCACCCTTTTATTTATTGTAAAACTTGAAAAATTAAGTCACAGATACATTTTAAGAGGATAAGTTGAGTATCCCTAATCTCAAAATCCAAAATACCACAAAATGTAAATCTTTTTAGAATACCAACCTGATGCTACTAGTGCAAAATTCCATACTTTACCTCTTGAGATGGCTCACAGTCATAATGCAGGCGCATTCAAAAATACTGTGTAAAATTTCCTTCAGGCTTTGTGTAAAATGTGTGCATGAAGCATAAATGATTTTCATGCTTAGCCTTAGGTTTCATCCCCAAAGAATCTCCTTAATGTATATGCAGATTTTCCACAATCTGAAAAAAATCCCAAATCTAAAACACCCAAATCCCAAGCATTTTGGATAAGGGATACTCAACCTGTACTGAATAGCGCCATCTATTTAGTCATTGCCTCCATGACAGTAAGTATAAATAGAGGTTGAAATGGGAATATAAAAACTACATTTCTGATAGTCCCTGCCACCCCAACAGACGAGCTATTTTAATTTTTCTCTGTTCTTTTTTAGATTATAGAACATAAATAAATACATAGCAGTCATTATATCCCAGCTGTAATTTTGTCATCCGGCTTTTAAAAATCAGACATGTCATAAAATGTTTCTCCATATTGCCACATAATTTTCATGGTTATTTTTAGTGACCTTTTAATCTTTCATTTGGATGATGTGCCATATAATTTATTTGTCTACACACACAGCCATTAGCATGCAGGCTCAAGGTGGCATTTTTCCTTATATGTAAGAAAATAGCTATACAAACTGTGCTTTTTATGGTGCATTACCTAAGGATAAATTCCTGTGTTCCACATCAGTGTTGACTATTTCCCCCCAAACAAAGTACAGTTTGATCCTTATTATCCATGGGTTCCATATTTGTGAATTTGCAGTCTTGCTGAAATTTATTTGAAACCCTAAAGTCAGTTCTCATGACACTTTTGTGGTCATTTGCAAATATGGACAAAGACAAAAAAATTTGAGTCACCTGCTCCCATGTCTCCAGCTGAGACTGAGCAAGGCTTTGTGCTATTGTTTTTCTTCTCATGCTATAAACTTTTCATGATATATTTGGTACCTTTTTTGGGTTTATGTTTTTTGTGGGTTTTGTTGGTGATTTTTTTGTTGGTGGTGGTGACAAAATGACCCCCAGAGCAGTGCTGAAGTGCTGTCCAGGGCTCCTAAAGTACAAGAAGGCTGTGAGGTACCTCATGGAGAAAACAAATGTGCATTTGATGACTTTATTCATGCATGAGTTATGACTGTTGGCCCTGAAAGCAATGTTAAGGAGTCAACAACAATGAGGTGCGTCCAGAACAAGAGAGAGGAAATATATCGATCCACATATCTAGCCACTCTAGAACATGTTAAAGTAGCATCTATAATGTGTGATGCAATTATGAAAAAGACATAAATATGGCTAAATTTGCAGATTGATGGAGATGATAACCAACTTTAATAAAGCCTAATGGACAGGCTGAAAGTCTAAGAAATGTGTGGTCTTATGATCCAGGGTTGGGGATGGTGGGCTCATCTCAGCTAGTGTTTGGCTGTAAAGAAATACTGCATGTAATTATTTGTAAGAAATATCTATATTCAATGAAGTTCCTTTAAACAGAAAAAAAAATACATAAAACAAGGTTCTGTGTTAATGGGTAGACAAAATGTGACTGGAGGCTTACAGGAACATGACCGTATATCTGCCTTAGGAGCAATAATTTAGTGTTCACTAATTCAATGTTTGTGGCAACTTGGCAAAACAGAACTACCATGAATGAAAATTGACTGTATGGTTGCCCCTCAGCATTCCAGGTGGATTGGTTCCAGGACTCCTGTGAGTACCCAAATCAGTACAGACTCCAGTCCCTTACATAAGTTTTATATGTTGTATTTGCATATAAACTACATCCTCTTGTATACTGTGAATCATCTCTAGATAACTTAAAATACCTAATATGTTGTAAAAGCTGTGTAAATAGTTGTTATACTCTCATTTAGTGAAATAATGACAAGAAAAAAAGTTATTATGTGTTCAAAACAGGTGCAGGGTTTTCTTTTTCCCCCTGAATATTTTTAGTTTGCAGCTGGTTGAATCCCCAGATATGGGACTTAGATGCAGAGGGTCAGCTGTATTTGGTTGGCAAATGATTTGGGGAAATTTTAAAAACTTTCCTCTTCTTAGAACTTCATTCATTGCTTGCACATCTCCTGCATTAATTCCCTGAATCACTGTACTGACTGGCCAGCATGCCTGAATATTCTGGATCATTAATCCCTTTTCTCTCTTTGTGTGACCTAGTCTCACATCCTAGGAGATGGATAGCCAAGACACATGAACTTCTCAGACTTCTCCTGTATGGCTCAATTCTAGTATAATTAGACATCAACCTCAAATGGTGGAGATGGGAACTAACCCTTGTCAACATTGGAAACCTTTGCCTCTGCATTTCTTTCTTTTTTTCTTTCTGGAAAGTCAATGGGTTACAGTGAGGTGACAGTGGTGGTGGTGACTGTAGCACCATATGAAGGGTTTTATATATGATTTCAGGAACTTCTAG